ATAGTTAAACATATATTATGTTAATCAGTACACTTAAATATAGCTTAATTATATTTACAATATGACGCAGTTGCTTTTAAATTTTAATGCCAATTTCAGTTTTTCCCAAAAACCATAAAATTATATAAATATACAATAAATATTTATGTTACACAAGGTGAATAATAGAGAACAAGGCCACAGACATTAACTTACAGTTGCAAGAGTCTTTACTTTAACACAGCACTAGGCCTGCTGACATGCATGATATACCTTTGTCACAAACAGACCACAGCAAGAGCTTAATCAAGGGACATGAAAGGAAACCAACACCCCCCTCCCCAGCTCTGTTTTAACTAAATCTGCCAAGCCTGTGATGGTGGATGTATTAGGTCAGGCAGGTGAGAGCCACGGGACCGCAGGTTAATTGCCGCTTTCACATTCTATCACTAGGCATAGAACTGGCATTTTGTGGGGAATCTCACTCCAGCTGTAGTTACAGGACACAGTTCTTCCATCGGTTCTCAGCTCCATCCCTTGGTCCCCCCACCTGCACAGGCTGCCCGTTACCCCTCTGTCCCTACCATCCCACCCTCTTAATTCTGCCACACCAGCACCACCTGTGCCTATGCCAGGTGAGGATTTCTGAGTTAAGGACATAGCCATAATTTGGGAAACAAGAAACTTTATTTCTAGCATGATTTATGCATTAACACTTCTCTTCTGGAAATCCAATTTATTTGAACTGGGAATTATTTTATTTCTGTATCTGAATTAGATTACTGTCATGTCCTAGATACCATCTCTTTTTCCAGTCTAGATGAGTGATCTGTTTGTTATTCACTCGTTAGCATCATCCTTTCCCCTCCTAAGCAACCAACCCTGGTTTTGAGGGTAGCCACCATCTCTCTGCTGTAGTTAGGAATATTGCTGGGAATAGCTCCTGAGTCATGTTTGGGTTATTAAATGGAAAGAATTATAATACACATACAGGTACTGGCCACAGCGGAATGAAATTCTCCATTATACCAACATTTCATTTGCATGAAGAACAGCTCAGTTGAAGTTTTGAGACATTTCAGTAAGTTTTTTTGGTCATTTCTGATTTGTACGTGGGAGCCTGAATATCTGCAACTGCTCGGGCAGGCTGAAGTTTGAGGTTGAGGTGGGTGACACAACGTTCTCTTCTCACCCATGGTGAGAAGCGTGCACCTGGCCAATGCAAAAGGTTTTCACTGTATAGTTGGGATGGTTCTCCTTCGACAGTCTGTTATCCTTGGGAAGGGGAAGCCCTTCAACCCTAAGTAGAAGAAATCACTGATTTTGAAGGCGTCTCGTTACCTTCCAGCATGGGTTTCTACTAGTAATGACATAAACTCAGTGTTAAATATACTCTTCAAAGAGAATTATTGTGGGGGAATCATAGTTCAAATAAGCTTTGCCCAGTCCAGGTTTTTAATTAACTTCAACAGCAAGGCAGACTAATGCGGAGCCTGCAGCATTCAGAAGTAGTTCTGTTTCACAGTATTTTCCTCTTTGTTCAGCTACTTTCCTTCATCTACAGGAATTACAAATATAGCATCTGTCTTCAGTGAGCTCACTAATGAGCTATTTCTGCCTCTCCGCCCACTGTAGAGAGTGCAAGTGCTATGCACAGCTCTCGGGCTTACAACCTGCCTTTTCAGAAATACTTCTGTCAGGATAGTTAGAGGGGTAGCGCAGGGCTCAATACATCTATCAGAACCTAAGCGATGTTAAGCCCACTCCTCCAGCACCTGCTCTCCACTTACTTCAAGAGGATTTTTTTTCATGCCAATATTTGTTTCATAAAATAAGGCTGACAGCAGAGGTGGAACCAACACAAAGATAAAGGCTAATTGCCTTCAACTAGAGGCAGGGCTTCTTTCTGCCCTCATTCCCCCCTTCCTGCTCCTTTGGGCAGGG